AACACTTGACTTCAGGCTCGGGTTGTCGTACTTAGTAGAGCAGCCACCACACTACGAACAATTGACCGACTCCCACCCGTTCTAAACTTTATGGCTAAGTCTCGCCACACATTGTAGTGAACCGCCCTTATTCTCTTCGTATTCGCTTGGTGATATGTAAATTCCACTCGTGCTGCTTCTTTTCACGAACTGCTATTTTGTGGAAATGACTCCCAAGAGGATGCTTCCCCCGATTACTACAATCTTAACCTGTTCAAGTGTTGGGCTAACTGTTATCTTCCCCACATACCCCCATAAACCGTGGCTTTTATTCTTTAACACTCTACATCAAGTGTCTGTTGGGATTTGTCCAGAATGAATATCATTGTAAAAAAAAAAGCCTGGTTGAAAAAACAGCATGAAACATTTTGACTTTTTCAAGGGCTTAAACTTTGACCACTAGCGCCGCTGGGATAAATACAACTACTTCAATCGCATGACAAACTCAGAGACGATACTGATTTTGATATTTAGCTTTATGCGGCACAAAGGCAAATGCAGAAGGGGAGTGAGAAGATGAAGAATGTGTTGCGTCAGTTTTCTAACTGAAAAGAGCCTACATTGAAAATCAGCATGTGAAATCCTGTTTCTTTCATGGGCTTGAACGCTGACATGACAAACTCGGAGGCGCTACCGACCTTGATATTTTACTTTGAGCAGCACAAAGGCAAATGCAGAAGGGGGGAGGGGGGAGAAGATGAAGAATTGATTTTTGAACGAGAATGAGAAGACATTAGTGAGGAGAAAGGACAAAAAAAACAGGATTCAGCATGAAACATGATGGCGGCTGACGTTGCATTCAAACTTTTAAATGTCGTAGGGATGGGAGTTACACAGGCGATAAGTGCGAGAAAAGAAACTATCTAACTAGAACTAAGCATTTCAATAGTAAAACGGTGAAACCTAATTACCAATCTAATAGTACACGTAAATTCAATATCTGTCTATATTTCTGCGATCAGGTACTGTAACTATTTACACTATTTGCATTGTTCGGACTGTTGTCCTCATCGTTGTTGTCATATAGACTACGTTTCGGTCGTTGAACGTTCCGGCTTTCAAATGACTGAAAATAGAACCGAATTCTTTATTTCGTTCACCGGGGTAGATTGTTCTAGTTTCACGTCCATGCCTCTTCCGTATTTAAGTTCATCTAGTGGTGCGCTTAGAGTCTAGGTACCAAGTAGAAAAGTTAAAACTGTTATGGAAATATTTATAGAATATAATAGATATTTATAGAAAATATTTATAGGAAAGTGTTGCGGACTTGTTAGGGCCAGAAATAAAGACACAAAGAGAGGAATTGAGTTAAACAAATATATTAACAGAAACAATAATACAAACATATACAAACTAGAGTGTTACAGCAAGAATGTTCGGTCCGACTGTCAGAACTGACTGCTGGAAACTTCCTTCTCTAAAAGGCAGTACCTGCTCCTAGTTATAGCTGGGAGAATTCATGCGTGCGTGGGTAAATTACCATAACAGAAAGAGAGAAAGATATATATATATATATATATATATATATATAGAGAGAGAGAGAGAGAGAGAGAGAGGGGGAGAGATAATCAGGGACAGTAAATGAATTAGAGATGCCAAGTTAGGACGAATAACGTTAGAAACCCTTCTTTGAATGTTGATGGTGGCTGATCTGGCCCATTAAGCCATTTGCAAACTGCTTTCCGGCTGGTGCAAATCTTCAGTTGCCATAATTGATCACCGAAAATGATTTGGGAAGTCCTCTTACCGAAAGGACATCAGCAAAGATAGAAATAATAACAACACTGTGATTAAAACAAATCATTGATTTCATGTTTTCTGATTTCGGCGCGCAATGTATAATCAAAATTGATCGTAATTTTTTTTTCAACGCCAAGAAGAGAACAGAATGGAATACGGAAATGACAACGAGCATAAATAATTAATGAATCCGTTAGATACAACTGAGATAAGGCCTCGTTGATAGAATTGGCCTCAGAAATTAATACCGAACTGTAAAAATGAAAAGCAAGAAAGAAAATAGTTCCTGCTACATTTGCAAAATACAAAACAAAACACCATTAAGGCAAATCATCTCACTTAATATATATATATATATATATATATATATATATATATATATATATATATATATATATAAGTATTATTTAAAAATATGTTTTCATCGCGACACAAAAATTTTCATGTTTAGAAACAAAAATCTTAAACTTAAAAGTTAAAGTTTAGTTTCATATTCAGCATCGCTTGAAAATGAAACTAAACTTTAAATTTTATGTTTAATTTAAGATTTAGGTTTTGATTTCGAAACATGGCAATTTCTGTGTTGCGATGATAACATATTTTTTAAAATATATATATATATAACAAAAATCCTAATATGCGATTATGCTGTTTTAATGTTTAATGTCAACGTCGGACGTTTCGGTCTAATAGACCATCTTCAGGACATACACATAAAACATAATTAACATAGACCATATACAATTCAACATGAAAAAGACGATGGACATAAAAGCAATACCAATCCAAACAGATAACTGAAATCTTTTATAAGATCAGCGTTCCGTTTCAATATGATCACGTCGTCGTCACGTGGGCGACGTTGTGAAAACGTATTCCTAAAATTTGAGTATTTTGAATGAAAAACGAAAAGAATTTTATTTTGATCTAAAACCTATATGTACGTTTGTCGAGCATTAATCTTGCTAGAAAAGGGGAAATATTAAAGAAGCCGGGTCCCCTTTTATTTCTTTTCACAGTATATTTAATTGATTTTTTTCTTGTGTTGTAATCTGGCTCGTGAGCTTATATTTACGCTTTCCAAAGAGAGAATCTTAGGCATTTTTATATGCAAATTCGACAAAAAAAATTTTAAATAAAACAGAATTGCGATGCATTCCTATCCCCGCCAACAATACTAGAAGGATAGGTCCTTGTCTCGGCCATAGGAAACCGAGATCCCCCTTAACTGCCCCTCCCACACGACAACGCCATTGATGTTCGCTCTCACTAGCACATTTAGTCAAGAATTTACCAAAACTTCGCCGGTATTAATGTATGTCATTGACAATCTTTTTAACTTTTTTTTTTGTCGCTACTACCATGGAAAGTGCTCGGACGTGTTACGGTTTTTTGGGTATATACCACATATAACTAGTGAGCGAGTCAGAATGACTTATTTCCCTTTATAGTCGACCAATAGAAGGTTGACCAATCAGAAGCCGCCCAACACTGTTCGTCGTGTATAAAGGCGGCCATCTTGTTTCCTCTACCGGAAGGACCAAAGGCGACCAGGAGAAGGATGAACTACACTCTGCTGTGATATCCACTGCGAAACTAAAGTACGCTTTCTTACTGTCTCCGAAATATTCACTGCCAACCTCTGGATTCTATACTCGAGGACGACCGTCATGAAAATGTCTAACAGGACGAACTACATTCTTTGTTTACACCAGGTCTACTCTTCAGGGCTAGGACGCGCCATGCTGCTTACATAGCAAACCGCCTACATTACATCCGTATTCCATCGGCGAGAAGTAAGTTCCACCCAAAACAGTTTCTTTACGCAAACATATCAAACCGACTCCCTAGAGGACGTCACTACAATCTTAACTTATTCAAGTCTAGAGTTAACCGTTATCTTCCTCTCCTATCCATATAAACTGCCGATTGGTGAAAAGTATGTTCCACTCGAACAGCTTCTTCCCGCGATCCATTGCTCTGTGGAACAGAATTCTTAAGATGTTTACCCGATCACTACAATCTTAACCTGTTCAAGTGTAGAGTTATCTTCTTCTCCTATCCATATAAACAACCCCTTATGGTAACTCTTTCCTCGAGTGGCTCCCGGGCCTTGTACAACGTGAACCTAACAGTTAAACAAAGAAAAAAAAAGATAAAAAAAATATTTAAATTCTACTTGAATAACGTATATTTTTTTTCGAACTAGGATACTGAGATGTCATTGTAATCTTAATATTAGTATGACCGACTAAAATTGGGATGTCTACAAGAGAAAAGGGAATCGTTAAAGAATAGGAGCAGACTATATATATATATATATATATATATATATATATATATATATATATATATATAAATATATATATATATATATATATATATATATATAGACTATATAGGCGAATTATTAGAACATGCACTTATCAGGAAGGTGACTTCTCGATTTTATCAAGCCTAGCGTGATGCATTCTTTGGAAAGTGTCTGAAAACCCTACCAGGAGTTGACCCAAGCCTTGTGAGTGAAACTGGGTAGACGGAATTATTTGGTTTGTGCTAGTACGAACTCACAAATCATCGTGACTGAGGGTATGAGCGTACTGACCATGTTCAGCCTGCTAATAACGCCAGATAATAAATGGATTCATACGTTTCTCTTCCAGAAACTGTAACTAAGGTCTGCTCAGCATAGATGCAGAAGAAACCACAGGTGGGCCCTGGGTGTTGAACGAGCGCAAAAACGCCTGGGCTGTCGTCTGAGATAGGGTTTGTCTAACCGCCCTAGTAGACATGCATACTCGGATACTCCCACAAATTTAGGAATCTGGCACTTGAGAATTTCGCTATCGTTAGATCCATCACTGAAAAATATGCTTAATCCCCGGGTCACACTCTGATAATAGCGTTGTTCAGGAAACTGCTACTTACATAGCTGCAGTAGTTGCATGCAATTCTTATATTCCCTGAATTTGCATAAGTACATCAGTTATCTGCCGGAACGAAGTAGCAGCTCGGAATGAAGAATAGAAGAACCGAGTTCGAATTCCAGTCGGGTTCGTTATATCCATTTATGCGCAAATAACCTTGAGAAAAGTATGAATTCCTCTATCCCCCAGCTATGGGTTAAATAGTGGGACTTGTATCTTGAAAAATTGTTATTATTTTCAAAGGAATTATTAATGCAATATTCACTCACAAATAAAGACTCATTGGTCCAACTCAAAATACCAGTTCCCGTACAATCACAGAAGTTAAGCAACGTCGAGTGTGTTCAGTACATAGATGGGTGGTCGCTTTGGATTACCAGGTGATGTAAGCTTGGATGTGCGGCTGAAGTAACGGATAACGGCTCTGATTTATTAATCGGAGAGGCGAGTTCCAATTCTCGTTGTATTCGTTTTATTCTCTTATACACAAATACTGTCGGGAAGGTTATGGATCCACCTTGTCTCTTCCTAGCTATGGGTTAATCAGTAAGACTTGTATCATTGATGTATTATTATCTCCAAAAACAAAAAGAAAATTTTGAAATCTAGAGGTGTTTCCTGGCTTTAAATAACCCGCAAAGGGTTGATAACCATAGAAAACGAATCAATTAATCAACCAAAATATGATTCAACTTTAAATAACCCACAAAGGGTTGATAAACCGTAAAAAAATAAATAACTCCCGTAAAATCAGCTCCTTTTCTCAGTGATGTAATCTTTAATCTTCTTCAAATTTCTAATTCATTTGAGAACCCGCAAAGATTTTTCTATCGTTAGATACTAACAGAGTGTTCTGAGTGAGGGCTTTAGGTCCTGTTAGCCGTGCTTGATCCATGAGTTATCAGGCTTTGTTCAAGGAACAGCTACTGATTTTTCGCTGTAGTAGCTATATGAAATTGTTAGTATATTCCCTGGACTATGCAATATTGGTCCTCCAATATAGCAACCAACGATTTCTTTACAGATAAAGAGGAGACATGATGCAAAAGAGACCTGTTTCTGCAGAAGAACACCAAGAATACCATGGACAGATCATGTGTGTAACGCGGAAGTTTTAAGGAAAACGGGAACAAATTCTACACTTGTACTTAGAATCAGGAAAAAAATGACATTTCTCGGACGCATAATGAAGAAAGAGGGACTGGAGAATTTGTGACCCACAGGAAATAGTGAAGGTGAGATTTAAACAGCAAATAACCTACCTAACAAGCTAATGCAAGGGTTGGCAGCCTACGGCATGCTTGCCACACGTGGCACCCCAAGCAATTTCCAATGGCACGAAGTCGCAAATGACATCACGAACTAATAACTACTACAACGCAAAGACATTTAGCTCTTTCAATTTTAATATATACCAAAGTATATATACTATATATTATTATATAAAATATATTGTAGAATAGGTATATTGAGCTTGACTTGTATAAAAATACTTATGCTGTTGGCAAACTGAATGATTTTAAAACACTAGGTCGGCAAAAGGTTGCCAACTCTTGTGCTAGAGGATGTCTAAACAGGGAATGGAAAGGTTAGTAAAAAAGCAAACATTGCTCAGAGCTACAAGGGATAGAAAGTTGTGGAGAGCCATGATCGCTCACGTCCTGAAGGGAGACGGAAAATAGAAAACGAAAAAAGATTCATCTTGACATTTGGTTTCATCAATGATGTTCGTGGATTTTTAAGTGAATTCATTTTTGATCAAAAAAGGAATGCTCTTGTCTATCTACTCACGCATGTATGTGTAAGTGTATGCGTCTCATGTCTGCCAACTTTGTGCCATAAGTTTTAAAAGATTATTCGTTTTAAAGAGACAAAGCATAACTGAGTTTTAAAACGATATCTCATCGTGGTCATACAAAACAACGAAATAGCAGCCATCATCAGGTGTAAACAGACAAAAAAAAAATATTACGAATTTTTTCGTCACGGTAAAAAAAAAAAGAAAGGAAAAATTCTTTCACACTTTATTCTATATTCTTTCTCTTCTCTCTATCAGACGCTCTCCGACATTCTCTATAATCAAATCTTTTATCCGAAACACTTCATCATCAAATCTTTTATCCGACACTCTTATTTCGCGCCAATTTCCAACTTGATAATTTTCTCAATTTCTCGTCGTCTTTATCTTACTAACAATTCCTCCTACTGTTCTTCCTCTTTCCTTTTGCCTTACCGACAACTTTTCAATCGATTCAATACAACTTAATACGAAAATTCGTTTGTCTGATTTTCTCTAATTACATTCTGCTTATCTTACCACAGAAATAGTCTTTTTTTTTTTGCAGTAATCAGGAACGACAGTGTTTTAAAAAAGATGCAATGAAGAATGATTGCAAATATATCAACACCACTTATAATAACAATAATTGTGTATCTTTATGTGTGTTTCTGTGCGTATATTCAACATACGAAGTTTTGAGAGTGTCGAAAAGAATAAAACAATGTTCTATTCAACACTTTTAGGCGTGGGTCAGTGTATTCAATGTTTAGTTCAGTCTGGGACGAAGCCAAATTTAATGTAAAAATAATTTCCCTAATTCTCTTTCCAATCTGGGAGTGGCTAAGTGTCATGAAAATCAGCACTAGAAATCCTGAAAGCCAACCCCTAACCTAAATATATAAATATATATGCAAATACCAACAGTAATTACGATTTTTTTTTATTATCAAGATTGTCGATCTCTAGGCCGATAGGCATTAATCTCACTGTTTCAAAAAACAGAGATATTTACTCAAACATGTTTACGCACTAAATATGAGGTTTATAGTAATAAGAAATAATGTCGGATTAAAAAGTATGCGAATTGCTTAAAATTTACTTTACATTTCGGGTACGAAAGTATAGTTAGTGAATATGGACGCCAGACGGTCCTAACGAGGTGCGCGTTTCTTAAATAAGATAATTGAACATTACTTTGCTCTAATAACTTCTCGTAGCTCAACGGTAAAGCAAACTTGGTTTGAGACCGGTTTCTCTGATGAAAAAAAGGAATACAGGTTCGTACACACACACACACACACACACACACACATATATATATATATATATATATATATATATATATATATATATATATATATATATGTTTGCCATACGTTTCGGATCGGTGGATAATGTCCTCTTTTGTGGGATTGTTTGTTTTTCGCTAGAGATAAATCTATCAGTATTTTATTTGTGTGTGTGTGTGTGTGTGTGTGTGTGTGTGTGTGTGTGTGTCTGGTTATATTTGACCAAAGAAATATATAACTTGACTAATTTATTTGCCTAGATTCCACCGTATCTTTCGAAATAGTTTCTTTAACTCAGTGTCTCACAAAATTTTTATTTATATATTTTTGTCGTTACACAACCGGTATTTTTCTATCATTAGATTTTCTTTAACATTGTTGTTGCAATATAATTATCAATATCATTATTATAATTATTATTATTGTTATTATTAGTAGTAGTAGTGGTAGTTATAGTAGTGATAATATGCCATATTATTCTTTCATCATTCATTATTATTATTATTAGAATTTACATATTAACATTATTATTGCCGTCAAGAGTAAAACTCCCTTTCAATAGAAGTCAATTACTATACTAAAACTATACTAAACTGTTAGTTATTTCTTATGGAAGAAACTACAATCATAACAACTAGTTGTAGTAAAAGTAGTAGTATCAGTAGTAGTAGTAGTAGTATCAGTAGTAGTAGTAATAGGATTTACACATCTCAGATTAATAATTTATTGTCTTGTTCTATAACGTTACTTCCGTATGTGTCAATCCAAACTTGTCACTCATGCGAACACGTATAGAGACGTGGTATCGAATATATCAACGGATATGGCTGTTTGTGAACACATGCGCAGATGCATGCGAGCAAGATGAAAGGCCAAATGGTAATGGTAATATCAGCCGTTTCCCTCTAAGGAAACATTTGGCAGTCATTGACCAAGCAACCAATACTGCTTTCAGTTAAAACTTTTCAGTATTTCTCTTAAAACACGTTTTTTTTTAAGGAAACAGGTTTTCCTAGTATTGTTAGGGGTTTCTTTTCTAACGTTCTATTTGAAGTGGTTTTGATTATGTCATTACTTTCTCTTCGAGTTACATGTGCCTTTCATTTTAGTTGTTGCTGCTGTAGAAATTCCTCACGTGGTGTGGTTTCTCTTATTTGGTACAGTTCTTTGCTTATGATTCTGTAGCGCCAGTCCACAATGAATGTTTTTCTAACCTCTTTTTTTTTGTATATGCCATTTCTTCAGCATATCTCCTGTTATTAAGAAGTCTTCATATATTTTTCAAAGTTGGATTTTGACTGTGAAGGTTTCGCCAACTCAATAAATAGAAAAAAAATCGAGAGATAATCCAAAATGTAGTACATCTGAACAATTTCCATGAAAATAGTAATAGAGCAGTGAGTGGGCTGCAGTGGGTTTTTTTCTGGAGACACTCTTGGACTCTTTCAAGACTGGAAATTGAAGACTGTGTAGCTCCTGAACATATATGGCAGCAGTACTCCATTTTCGACCTGATCTGACTATTGTAAAGTAGAGGAGAAAACTGAATGCAACATATATGTTTTTCTCATTGCTTTTCAACAAACTGTCAAAAAGTAAAGGAAATAGAACAGTTATTAGACAGAAGTGTTGGGTAGTGATCTTCTATTTGCCATGTTTCTTCAGAACGTTAGTGATCATGGCTCTCCACAATTTCCTTGTCCTTTGCAGCTCTTAGTAAATTTTGTCTTTTTGTTATCTCTCCTAAACATAGTTCAACCATCCATTTACAAAAGCTCATTACGTCAATTATTTGCTGTTTTCTTCTGTCTCTCTTGCCTTCAGTATTTCCTGTGAGTGCCAAAATTTCCAAGCCTTCTTTCCACATTATGTACCCTAGAAAGGTCAACTGTCTTTTTTTTCTGATGTTAAGCATAAGTGTCCTCAAGTGGTGTCAGTTATGTGCCATGTGTGATACACGATTAGGCGATCATGTATCTTTCGATACATGACTGACGAGGCAGATTTTTCCCGCAGTAGGTTGCCATTTCTTTCTGCAGTAGACCAGTTGCCATTCAAGGCTATAGAACCCAGTCTGTCCTACTATTTACTTATAACTGTGGGGGAAAAGAAGAGGATTCATAACTTTCCCAAGGGTATTAGCACGTAAGTGAATGTAATGGCTTCAACTGGAATTCGAACTCGGCTCTCCGATTCCTCAATCCGTGCTTTTATTTAGTATAGTTCTTTGCTTGTGATTTTGTAGCGCCAGTTCACAATGGTTAAAGAAGGTTAGTCTTCGACAAGACCCTCAGGTTTTACTCGCTCAAAGCCGTTTCAGGCTTAAGAAGTCGGAAAATGTTTGATGTTTGTCGTAATGAAGAATCCGATCGGTCTTCTAGCGTCTAGGCATCTTCTACTTGTTTGGATAGAGCACGAGACGAGCCGATATTAAGTTACATACATTGTGAGTGGGAACAAATATTCGTGCAGATAATTTTTTTAATTTATTGTATTTCCAACTAATGAATAAACATACTTTTCAGATAATTATCTGCACAAAAATGCATCATAACTTAATATGCAGAGAAAACAGAAAAAATGATTTAATAGAAATAAATCCCATTTATTCACTTTAATGGATGAAAAAAGTATTCGTACAGTGCAATTTTCAGATGTTAAAATTTAAATTGCTCTAATACTGTAGAGAATTCAAAGAGAATATTCTAGAATCTTCCGATAATGTTCTCAGTAGTTATTTTGAGCCTAAAAATACAAGCAGAACATCTTGTAATTGATATTCGTGCAAGAAGGTTTTCGTCATGGCAAGAGGTAAAGAATTAGAATTGACAATTTCGCAAAAAGAACTGATTGTTAAGCTTTGGAAAGAAGGTAAAAATCGCAAGTAAACCTCAGACAACATGAATATTCATTTGCTACCATTTGTTTATTCACTGCAAGGTATAAAAAAACTCAAAACGGTTGAAAACCAAAAATGAACAGATGCTCCACGGAAGATTTCTGCAAGATCTTCGAGGTAATTAATGAGTCAAATTAAACAAAATACAATTTTTCTCTCTCCCCTCCTCCCTCCCCCTCCCCTCTCTCTCTCTCTCTCTCTCTATATATATATATATATATATATATATATATATACACACACAGTTGGTGGGAAACAAATATTCGTAAACATACAAATTTTTAATTCATTATATTTCCAACTAATGAATAATCATACTTTCATATAATTAACTGTACACAGATGCATAATAACTAAATATGCATAGAAAAGAGAAACAAATTAGCGAGATAGATATATGTAGGGAGAGAGGAAGGAGAAAAATAGTTAAACATGAACACAGATATATATATATAGATAGATAGATAGATAGATAGATAGATAGATAAACAAAATACTGATTATTTATGCATCACAACTAATTGATAAGTGGGCCGGTCAAAAATTACATCATTTATATATCAATTAGATTAAATGTCCCGATGTTCAAGAGAAAGTTTTTAAAGTCCTCTTCTTTTTTCCTACCGATAATCCTATTTCAAATGACTCTCTTTCTGTCCACATGCAGAAAGCAACGTAGTGTCATAGAATTTCTATTTTTGGAAAGAGAAAGCGCTGCAGACATCCACAGAATGTGCTTGAATACTCCTTCTGTGATTGTGTTTAGCGTACTGAGTAGATGTAAACTAGTAAAAACTTAGAGTTTATATGTGCTCCAGAAATGTGGCCTTGTTCTTAAATGCAAACATAATATACAGGTAAGCTAATATATAATTTGGCCGAGTGATGTAAAGAAGAATTTATTATACACAAATTCTTATATTCTTCATTAATCCTATCAATCGAACATTACAGAGGAAAATTTTCAAATAAAAAAATCAGTTATCAATGATTTTCGTATACAGAATCACTGATCCATCCTCTATCTAACATATAATGGTAATGCAGTTGATTAGTTTATATAGCAGAAAACAATGAAGAAAGTAGTTCAAAATTCCCAGTGGCACTGGATAAATAGTGTGTCTCCAACTGGCTCTGAGCAAAAAAGGAAAGCATTTAATTCGAAGCTACGTGGTTAATTTTGAACCAAGTTCAAGTGATGCTGTAGTTTGGATTCCAGATAACAGACCCATATTAATGTAATGGTCGAATAAATGCAGTGTGTTGGAATAAGTAGACATTTACTTGACCCCCCCCACACACACACACACACTGGGACAGGTTGTGACACAAGGTCATTTCTTAATGTGGGGACCCGAGTGTCCTCACTCGGGCTCCCGGTCATAGCCTGTTCAAGCTGGTCTGAGCAGGTCCAAGCCTGTCATAGCTGATCTTAGTTTGTCACAGTTGGTCCAAGCTGGTTAGAGTCGGTCCACGCTAGTCATAGCCATAATATAACCAGCACATGGACTGATCCCTGTTCCAGTTAAGTATCATTGAGGTAAGTATGTTGTATGTGTTTTAATACCAATGTAACACCATTTAGAACCAATCAAGTCGCATATGAAAATTACAACTTAAGTCCACACAGCAGAATATAAGAAATAGTTTACTAATAGTATACTAAGTGATTTTATTGTATGGATTTGTTCAGTGTCAAGATTGTATATTTTTCAAACAATTAGCACTTGAAAAAGACGTATTTGTCCGGGACTATAAATTGTGTCAAACTTCTGCGAATATAATACATGGATTCTAATTTGTTTTTTTAATCCTTTCATCCCATGCAAGGCAGTAAAGCCACTATGACACAAGGGGTCACCGATTGAGAAAGAATAAGAAAAAAAAAGAGACATTATTATGGAGCGAGAACTATAAAAGAATACAGAAGACGGTAGATAACGATTGACATTGCATTTAAAATACTGAAAATCAAAGTTGGCTGGAAAACATAGAACCTGAAGAGAATTCCACAAGCCAGAAGTGCGAGAAAACAAAAAAAAAACTGTTAGCATAAAACTTATGGTTGCATCTAACCAATTCAAATGTGAAAAGATGAGAGCTTGCTACCATTCTAGTACTACGATGAAATGTTTCCCGCTCGTTTGCATTGCTAGGTTGAGTTTCTTTACGGTTTATCAAACGTTTCAAGGTTATTTAAAGCCAGAAAATATTTTTAGATTGGGAAAAATTTTCGGAGATAATAATGTTTTACTGATACAAGTCTTACTAATTAACCCATAGTTGAGAGAGGAGGGAGAAAAGGTGGGTTCATATCTTCCCCAAGGGTATTAAGCGAATATAACGAAACTGAATAGAATTCGAACTCGGCTCTCCGCTTTCCAAATTCCGATTCGTTATCCATTGTATCACCCGCATATCCAAGTTTACCGCATCTGGTATTCCCAAACGGTCACCCATCTAGGTATTGTTTGGCCTCTATGTTGCTTAACATTGGTGATCGTAGGACAGCCTGTGTTTCAACGTGATATGAGCGTAAGTTACTGCATTATTGGAGGACGGTAAAGAAAATAAGGACTTAAGAGATAGGAAAATCATCAAGTCTTTTTCTTTTTATATACATTTAATCAGCGGCTCAAGTCATTAAAGTAGCGAAAATGATTCCAGTAAATCAGGCCAAAGTTAAATTGAATGATTAAGCGTCATTCATAATATTAATCCGCGGTTATTTTACTAAAGTGAGATTTTTTTCCATTGCTTATTTTCCATCTCTGTACCTTTTATTTTACACAAACATACGTACCCCATCCCACATATACGAGTGTTATATTTTGTCTGGATGAAGATTTTTAAACAGCATGAAATAACTTAGTGCTGAATAAATACTTATGTGCAAATTCTCTTATTTAACTATGTATATTCTCACGTGTAACTCTGCGCATTTTTGTGTGTGTGAGAGCGTGAGAGATAATACGTATATGTTGGATTTTGTGTGTGCTGGAAACACTCAATCTATTCTGATACGAATAATCCATCGATAACACGCTTGAAACTGATTGAATAAACATAGTAATTCCGATAAGAGAAAAGGTAGTCAATCCTTTCATCCTTACCTGCTGCCTTCTTCACTGGCCGATTCTCTCGTCTGACCGTACAGCCATCTTAAATAACATGGCTTGCAGCTGTCCCTCTTACTCAAGCAGACAAGATGGTTTTTTTTTTTCTTTTCCTTTCACACATTGTTGGTGTTATTTTTATCTTTATCTTTTTTTCTCACACAATTTTTACGTTATCTATTTTTAGTCTTTTTTTCTTTTATATTCATAGAGTAACGACGCTATCGTCTGCAATTTGATTGACAGCTTCGGCAGATGTTGTTAGTTGTAATCTAATCGGGATGATACGTGTTGTTTAGAAAAAGATAGAGTAATAGTTATTAAGGAGACAATATCAAGTTTTAAAAAAAATAATTGTCTATTGTCTTTCGTCCCTGTGTTTCGACACTTCTCTTCCTTTTTAAACAGAGAATCCACTTTATTTATTGCAAGGGTCTTTGAAAATTGGAGAATATACGATGTGTTTCATAAGCAACTCGTTTATAAGCGACTGCAGTCAAATTTGACTAACTCTTAAGCAATTCCACTACTGACATCAGTATTGCTGTAGCAAGTCAAAATAAAAATTAAAAAAAGACAAACGTAATACTAAACAAAAATATTATTAAAAACGTTATTTTGCATTGTATTGAAGAATTCAAATAATTCTATTAGTTTATTTACACTGAAATGTCTTACATTTCTATTTATTAGACCCAAGCAATACTACTACTACTAGTAGTAGTCAGTATCACACGCTTGGGCAATCACGTATCTTTCGATATATGACTGGTGAGGCAGAATATTTCTCCCGTAGTAGGTTGCCATTTCTTTCTGCGGTAGGCTGGTTGCCAACTCAGAACTCATTCTGTCCTGCTATTCAACCTATAGCTGGGAGAAGAGATGAAGTCATGCCTTTCTAAGGATATCTGTGCGCAAGTAAATATAACGAACTCGACTGGGATTCGAACTCGGCATTCCGAGCCGATATTCATTATACCACAACGCACTACTACTACTGTCACTACAAATAATAAAATTAAGCAGCCATTTAAGAAACTTGAGTACCCATACTTACCTAAAATTTAAGCAACTTGAATAAAGATCAAAATCCTTAGTTGCTTATTAAAAAAAAACCCTAGATGTGCTGTTGGAAGACTTCAAGTGATATGCTTTTTGTTACTAGGGAAAGCTCTTTGTGAATGTTTAGCGCCAGTCTATAAGCTTCGATGAACGATTATTTTTTTGAGATCTAAAGTATTCATTCACTTGAATGCATTTGATCTCAGAAAACAGTTGGATATAAATGATAACTTCGATCTTTCTGAATGTGTTCGATACCATGGATGGCATCCTTTAGGTGAATCTTAACCTGACAAAGCTATTTAATAACATGCCTTCAGTTATCAGGTTAATGTTAGGTTTTGTAGCATCTTTCTGTGTTGGATCAAACCACCCACTACACAATCTATCCTATGTCCAATTACCTTAGACAACGAAACAGGCTATTTTACCCAAATGGTAAATTAATTCAGAGACAGTTTTACATAGAGAATCATGTTAAATAAAGCGTACATTAGTAATAACTTTTCAACATTTTTTTTTTTTTTGCTAACGAATGCAGATCTACCTTTTATCAGTTACACGCAGAGAGCAATGCTCTCTCAGATTTGCCAACGAAAGATCATGGAGATCTGAAGAAAATGAATTTCAAAGATACACGTTTGAAAAAAAAAAGTCTCCCGATTTAAAACTTGTGGAGCAGTCAAAAGAAAAAGGATCATATTGACAGACTGCAATTTACTAGCAAAGATGCATTCTGGAAAGTTACTCTGGATGACTTGCAGTCAGTTTCATATGAATAAATCAATAGACCATTTCTAAAACTAATTCTATTAATTCGATTAAATTTACTACGGGAATTATATATGGAATAATTAGGATATTAGAGGATATAATTTACATTAATAATGTCTTCGGCTGTTGTCTTCTCAGGTGTATACCGGTCTGGGTTACCTACATGGAATTCTTAACTGAAACTTTTATTTAATCTAGAGGTGTACACTCTGAAGTAGTGCTTGTGAGTTCAATCCCTGGGTCGGGCAGTATGTGCTTGCACTCAGTGGAAACGGGCGAGCAATAACGGAACATTACTAAATGAAAAAAAAGAACGATACGATATCCATAGACGTGAGCAATGAGACGAGAACATTTCACCCCCGTAGATTAAATAAAGGGTTCAGATTTCCCTGTAGGTTAATGTTATGGTCCAGGTTAGGACCGAGGAAGAACAACACGAACACAAGAGTAGAAATAACGAAGGTATATTACACGAAATAATAATACAAGATGTGGAAGGTGTTAGTATGACTGTCAGTCTGCTTTGGAGTGAACTACTATCGGCTCGACTCGATTCGACCCTCTCTCTTGAGAGGTGTAGTATACATAGTGTTAGGAAGAGTTCATTCTTTAGTTATAGGTAAGGACCCATGACAGTTAACCAGATCGATATACACCTGAGGAAGGCCGGAGGACCCAACGACTGAAACGTTGTTATAATAACAAAGTTTGTAATATTTGCACACGATTTAAACTGCAATTATTTTTAAAATTACAACACTGTTATTTGGACAGACCATAATCTGGCATATTGTCGTTTTACTGTTGAAATAGCTAGATGTAAACGTAAGTTCTATTCTTAGAGTTACTTTTCAATAACTTTTCACCTGTTGAGCGTTCTTCCGGATTTTTGATAGATAGATAGATAGATAGATAGATAGATAGATAGATAGATAGATATGAACAGACTGGGATAGATAGATATGAACAGAATGGGATAGATAGATCGATAGATATGAACAGACTGGGATAGATAGATAGATAGATAGATAGATAGATAGATAGATAGATAGATAGATAGATATGAACAAATTGAGATAGACAGATAGATAAACAGTGATAGATAGATTTGAAGGTAGATAGATATTACCAGACTGAAGAAGATAGCTAGCTAGCTAAATAGATAGATAAACTGTAACAGATATATGTGAAATTCGATAGATAGATAGATAGATAGATAGATAGATAGATAGATAGATAGATAGAAATGAGTTCTTCATAGAATGTCTATATGTTATTCGTGAATATCTGTATATTTCATATCAGGATGAATCAAATTTTAGATCATTATTTGTATTGTCGGATATTGCCGTATGTATGTACGTGTATTTGTCCGTGTGTATGTACGTGTGCATTTGTATGCGCTTGTGTGTGTGGGTAAATTAATAATAGGCTTATGTCATAGATAACTCAAAAATAGTTTTAAGTATAAATAGTTTGTATAGCACATGCGCTTTTCTCATAGCAAAACATTTTTCGAACCTGAAAACGTGGTTACGTCACGAGTCGCCATAAGTATTCGATCTCAATCCAATTTTCCTTGGTTACATATTTGCAGGTATACATGTCTGTGTATAAGAGATAGATATAAAAAGTGCGAGTATTTGGTGGGGATGTCCCTGTATTTTGGGGCTTGTTTAAGGGTATATTTGCATTATTATAAGTAAAATGAATTAAAAACGTTTGTCAAGTTGCCTTTCTCTACGTTTTTTTATTACTTCTTTCGTTTTATTTTTATTTATTTTATTATTTTTCATTTCGCTTCTCATCGAAATTCAACAAGCAAGTGTGTGTCGTATCTCTTAAGAAGAATAGCTGTTAACTAGAGTTTTATGTCACAATACATCTTTTTGGACATATGAAACAAAAGAAAAATTGAATCAGTGCCGCCAGGCTTAACACGAAATCATGGTAGTTTGTTATTTTGGCTTTCTTTCTTCTGTTTACGTATTTACAGAAGGTATTTCTTTTTTCTTAGAGAAGACAATTGTGCCCACGAAGACAACAACAACAACAACAACAACGTTGATGTCTAGAGACGCTATGCTATTTCTTTAAAAACAAAATCATTTTCGATTTCTTCACTTTTCTTTTGATATTTGTTGAATTGTTATACACTAATTTATATATATATATATATATATATATATATATATATATATATATATATATATATATATATTGAAATGGATATGCTGAAATGAAATATGCGTGTGTGCGATGTGTATGTATGTGTTTATGTGTGTGTCTATGTCATCGTGTGTATGAGTGCGTGCACACACGTGTGATCGGACGTGTTCATGAATATATAAATTGTATAGTGGGATATGCTTCACTATCGTTATATATATATATATATATATATATATATATATATATGGGTGTGGAGAATTATGTACGTATCTGTCTATCTAGCTATTATCTATATACACACACACACACATATATATATATATATATATATATATATATATATATGTGTGTGTGTATATGGGTATGGAGAATTATGTACATATATATATATATATATATATATATATATATATATATATATATATATATATATATAGGTATTTCTAATGTGTTTGTTATTAAATCGGTCAATTCCTTTACCGTAAACGTTATTTTAGTAGAAACTCCAATATGAAATAAATATACCCTTTTAATAAATAAAATGAGCGTCTATTCAGATATGACTATCCAACAAAATAACGTTTAAAATGATATATATATATATATATATATATATATATATATATATATATTTATGCAGATGTTTGTGTGTGGGGGTGCGAGCGTGCGTGTATTGAACTCTTTTCCCATTTCTGGCTTTCCTACTACCTACAATCTTCAAAAGCCTTTCATAGTCTTCTTTTGTTGTCCTTTCTCCTCACTTCTCACTAAAGTCTTCTAATTCTCTTTCTCTCCGAGGAAGATGCATTTTCGAACGATGCTTTTCAAAAGAGGCAAAATCTCTCGACTTGAAAGATTTGCACTAGACATAAGTATTTGTATACGTAGATAAGAGTTTATTTATATAGATCTCTCTCTATCTCTATATATTATATATATATATATATAATATTAGTGGTCAACATACATACATATCTATCTATCTATCTATCTATCTATCTATCTATCTATCTATATATATATATATATATATATATATATATATATATTTCCAAGAGGGTAGAATACAGGTAGATACCCAGGACAGAGCAAGAATATGATATAAAAGGCTCAAACACTAATATTCCATGGTTATAATTTATTACATTGGAATAGTAATCAAGATACAATTCATCAGACCTACAAATTCAAATGCCTTTTATAATTTGTAGGTCTGATGAATTGGATGGTGATTACGATTCCAATGTAATAAATTATAACACTATGGAATATTAGTGTTTGATATTTTATATATATATATATATATATATATATATATATATATATATATATATATATATGTGAAATGAAATATGTGTGTGTGTGTGTGTGTGTATATATATATATATATATATATATATATATATATATAAGCATTTCACCCCAAAAAAGGTACTAAGCAAACCCCTATGACATAAAGGGGTATAATGTGTGAGAGAATATGAGAAAAAACATATATTAAGGAGAACAATAAAATTCAAAAGATAATATATATATATATATATATATATATATATATATATATATATATATATAAGTGCGAATATATGTGTATCACTGTGTCACTTTTTTAATTGAAGGGACACAACTCTCTAACTTTTAATAGCTCATGTTGCACGAATTTTGGATTCCCAGTTTTCATTACTGCGATTGATTTCGGCGATTTTTACGTGATTTTTGCGACGAATTTTTTCCCTACAATAACAATTTTTATAACTGAGATAATAAATTTCGGAATAATCGAAATTAATTGCGAATTCCAGCGAAAACCACACATAACATAAAAAAAATTGCTATTACGTTCTTTAAAAAAAGTAAAAGGAAATGCTTAAATATTAATGCAATATTTAAATGCAACAATCCATTTTGAGTTCTTCGGTAGTTTGTTGTTTATACGGCTGCATTATGCGTCGCAAAATGAAATCTCCGCCAACAGAGGACCAGTTTGCAATCAAAAGAGTCAAGGCTACAGCCACGAAAAGAATGTCCGATACAGATAAAAAACCAGATCAGATGGCAGTTACGAGAGCTTTCAGTGCTGAGAACATGCAAAGTCTTAGTGACTCTTAAACTTCTGAACAAGCCAAAGGCCCAATGAAAAGCCCCCCGTAGGTGTAAGCTTAAATATCGGCTGGTAGGCGTTTTTTAAGTTATATATATATATATATATATATATATATAAGAATAGGATATATGTATATATAATAAATTCCAATACCCAACAAATACTATACTTAAAAGAGTGCTCAATACAGAGTAGACCAAATATAATTATTTATTTATAAAAACATATAATATATATTATAAAATCACTACAAAAACAGCCATTTTCTTTCAACGCTTATGGTGACCAAATTAATTACTATAATTGTATAATATATATATATATATATATATATATATATATATATATATATATATATATATATATATATATATATATGAGGCAGGTGCTGCTTCTGTATGTCAGTCGGTTAGTCTGTCTGTATTAAAGTACTTTGTAGAATTTATGTTTCTTAACTGCCATATTTTTTGAAAGCTTACTTGTTCCTGACCAGGCTAAAAAAGACACCTGCAATATGATATTGTCAAATTGTCAGCCCTAAGCAGTAATTTTGCTTGATAATATTGAGAACGTCATCATATTCAATATATATACAAACACACACACACACACACACACACACACACACACATATATATATATATATATATATATATATATATATATATATATATATATATATTGATGTATTTGGAGGTTTGGCTGAGTAGTTACAACGTTATCTTTCTTGTTCGAATCACGATGGTCGATTTGTTCGGGAGGCGACTTTTGATAACATCACCCTGGGAATAGTGCCTGAAAAACATACAGCGGGTTAACCGAAGCCTTGGGAGTGAAAATGCGTAGACGGAACCGTTCGAAAACCATTCTGCCAGCACTAAGTCAGGAGACATCGTGACCGAGGGTTTGAGCCTTGTTCGAAATATTGACCACGTCAGATTATACACTCTCTGCCAGAAGCTGTAACTAGGGTCACCGCAGCTTAGTTGCAGTATAAGCCACAGGAGAAATATGGGTGGATCAGGCGTCTGTAATAGTGAATGATATCTATCTATCTATCTATCTATCTATCTATCTATCTAATAAAATGATCTATCTATCTATCTAAGAACAAGATCTATCTATCTATCTATCTATCTATCTATCTATCTATCTAAGAACAGGAACTATATCTATCTATCTATCTATCTAAGAACAGGAACTATCTATCTGTCTATCTAAGAACAGGATTTCTCTCTCTCTCTCTCTCTCTCTCTCTTTCTATCTATCTATCTATTTATCTATCTATCTCATTTTCTTTAATGCCATTCTATGTGAATTGTTTAAGATATATCAATCTAATTGACCATATCTATTTATCTATCACATTCTTTTCATTATCTATTTATATCAGTTTCTTCATCTCTCTCTCTCTCTTTCTCAATACAGTAATATGTACTTATCTATCCATGTGATTTTTCTATAAGTATCTTCTTTAGAACGTAGACGTTATAATTTGTAGCGCCGTACTAGATTGGCGGTAAGGTCTCATTTTACAGTTTAAATTGCTAGAGGTAATTGAAAGTTTTTCGCTAAGAGTTTCTTCTATCGCACTTCTTACTAGTGGGACGCTCTTTCGCCTTCTTGCTTTCTATTTAACTTTGATCTTCAAAAATTTAAATGCAATATCAATCTTTATCTTCTGTCTTCTTAATTCCTTTTCTTTTATTGTTCTCTCAACTTCATTATGCTTTTCTTTTTCTCGTATCATTTCCCACTCAGTAACCACTTGCATCTTAGTGGCTTTATTGCCTTGTTTGTGTTGAAATGATTGAAAAAAAAAACAGAAAGAAAGTATAATGCATAATATGAACATTAAATCAAGGTAATAGCTATGGAATACCTTGTAGAGAATGGATAGGAACTGTGATCTTATACAATTATTATTTCCCACTCAGTAACCACTTGCATCTTAGTGGCTTTATTGCCTTGTTTGTGTTGAAATGATTGAAAAAAAAACAGAAAGAAAGTATAATGCATAATATGAACATTAAATCAAGGTAATAGCTATGGAATACCTTGTAGAGAATGGATAGGAACTGTGATCTTATACAATTCCGTTTCGCATTTCTGATCGGCGGGTCCCACCCAGGAAGCGTTTGCTACACGCCACACAATGCATTAAAGTATTAGTCACTCATTGGTGATCCGGAGCCTATTTGAACATTAATCAATGCTATATGAAAACAGTTGTTGTTTACTTGAAAGGTTACGAAGGACGCTCTTGGTCAATTGGCCGTGTCCAGAAACGGTCAGTGGACACGATAAAATATACATTAATGTGAACATTAGAACGAAATGAACAGAAGGAAAAACAAACGCGAGTGGTCAGAATCTAGTTGCCCCATTTCTGTAGATCTGTTATTTAGATTATTCGATAGTCGGTGATTATCGGCAGGTTTTCTTTTCTTTTTCTTTTTTTTTATTTATTACAAATGCGCTTTTATTTCATTTCACCGAAGCGGAGCAAGATAAGAAAAAAACGGAATTAACAAAGGTTACCTCTCAGATATTGTTCTACAATAGACCAATATCGGTAAATATAGAGGTGACTGATAGACAATAATCAATTCACCCCAAGCAAGGCGATAATACCACTAAGATGCAAGGGGGCTACTGAGAGTAGAAGAGAACGAAAATACTTTAAAAGGAACCAGAAACCCAATCCTAAACTCAATTCATCCCAAGCAAGGCGATAATGCCACTAAGACGCAAAGGAGCTACTAAGAGTTATAGAGAACGAATATACCTGAGAAGGAACCGGAAAATCAATCCTAAACTGGGTTGCGTTTACGGTTGCTTCTAAAGTCTCTTTGTTCTCTTTCACTCTCAGTAGCCCCTTGAGTCTGAAACACACACACACACACACACACACACACAGAGACAGACAGAGATTATGAAATATGAGACTAATATACAAATGGTAGTGGTTATAGTAATAACGAGGTTAGATGTTTCCTTAGAGAACCCGGCCAACCCTTTTATTTAACATATAACTAAAGAAAGATATGAATTCAGACTCTTCTCAAATTATTAGTGTGAAAATAAACGTAGCAGACTACGCCGGGATTTGAACTTAGCTCGTCCATTCCACTTTAGACGCCAATAACTGTCGCGCTACCCCACATATCTTAGCCCAACATATTTTAATTAAGCAACGACGAGCCGAGTCAGTGTCTAGATGGGTGACCGCTTGGGAATACCAAGTGCTGTAAATTTGGGTATTCGGGTTGTGTAACTAATAATGACTCGCAATTGGAAATCGAAGAACCAAGTTCCAATTTCAGTCGAGTTCCTTATATTCACTTATGAAATCCACTTGGGAAAAATATGAATTCACCTCTTCACACCCAGCTATGGATCAATCAGTAGCATTTGTAACGATAAAATCACTATTATCTCAAGAACAAATCATTACAATCTAAAAATATTTTCTGTCTTTAAATAACATGTAGAAATATTTTCTGCCTTTAAATAACCTGTAAAAATATTTTCTGTCTTTAAATAACCTGTAATTGGGTTTCTGGTTCCTTCTAAAGTATATTCGTTCTCTTTCACTCCCAGTAGCCCCCTGTATCTTAAACCGTAAAAAACAAAACAAAACAATACAAGCAATCAATCAACCAACATATCTTAACGATAATAGTAAGTTTAGCCGTTTCCTTATAAGGAAACATTCGGCATACATTAACTGTATAGTTAGCGATACTGTCGGTTATAATTTTTAAAATATTTCTCTTTAAATATTTTTTTCAGTTTTCTCAAGTCCACTAACTGTTATAGCTCTTTACACTATTGATGATGGCTTCCTTCTTCAGCACGGAAATTCGCCATCTTTATTATGTCATTGATTTCTTTACGAGTTAAATGTGCTATCCATTTTTATTATTCCTGCTGTTGAAAATCTTCAAGTTTTTTTTTTTTTTTTTAATATTTCACCCCAAGCAAGGCGGGAGTGCCACTAGCACGCAAGGGGTTAAGGAGGATTGAGAGTAAGAGTAAAGAGGGTTGTTTGAGGAAAGGATATATAAAAGGACGGGGATCAGAATCAAAGCATCAGAAGGTGTCGATTGACATTACACTTGAATATTTAAAGATTATAGCTATCAGGAAAGCAAGTACGAAGAAGGGAGTTCCACTGTCCGGAAGTGCGAGAGAAGAAGCTGTTGGAGTAGAAGATGCGGTTAAATTCATGCAGTTGGGGTACCACTGGAAGTAGCTCGTTAGAGCAGTTGCCATGAAAATATTTGTAGAAAAAACAGAGGGAAGCCACGGTACGTCTGTAAGAAAGTGACTGTAGGCGAGATGCCAGATCAGGACCTATCACATTGCATATCTAACTCTAAACCTCGAGATGAACAGCAGGGATGTAGTTTCTGTTATTTGTTGCAGTTAATGATTCTGTAGCGCCAGTCCACAAGATTCAATGAAAGATGGCCCTTTCAAAGATCTACATGCTTCCAAGCTCAAAGCCAATTTTTAATAATTGACTTGAGAAAACAGTTGTATACAGTAAGGGTGAAATCAGCCGTTTTCACACAGGAAACATATCTGCAATCATTGACCAGACATTTAACGTTAATTGGAATTTGTTGAAATTTATAAAGTCTTTTCTTTAAAGTAATTTTTTCGGGAAATTTTATTTCTGAAATTCACTGCTATCACTCTTTCTTTTAGTAATGGGAGTTTCCTACCTAGCCTTTTGTTTAAAGTAGTGTGGAAAGCCAACATTTTGATAATATCATTATTGGCCCCTTCTAGCGCCATGCATTGTTCTTTTTGGTTATTGATGCCGTTGGAAGTCGTCAGGTAATGTGGAATTTGTTTTTTAGTAAAGGTTTTTATTTTATTTATTTTTTTTTTTACGGAGTTGAAGAAAATCTTCCTGAGTATAGATGATTCTATATTCAATTTCTTTATCATCTTTTGCTAAACTTGTTATGACTGATCCACCCACTGGAGTATTTGAAGTGCTTAGAATTTATTAATTTCAAGAAATTTTGTGAAAAAAATGTTTTAGTATCTGCCTATATTTCTGAGGTAAATAGTGTACATAATATCTCATCTCAGAAATATAGACAGATACCTTTACTCCAGTTCAAAAAAACTTGTGTGGAGTGTCAAACATGCAATAGGTGAACCCATCTACTTCTATGGTACAGTTGATAAAGGCGTTAGTTAGATCCAGTGACAGGACATGGCACGTGGAACTAGAACAGCCTACCTCAGTGAGCGAAATAAAGGGTTCAGTTTGATATTCCAACCACCTGAAGAAGGCCGGAGCGTACAATAATATATATGGCGACAAAGATGAGGACAATAGACCGAATAATGTAAAAAAAAATGATTTTAAATTATAAAAAAAATGAATATTTTAGTAAATTAATCGTACCTTTTTGATGTTATTTGTTTTGTCGAATTGAATTGAATTACTGAATTGAAGCAAGGAGTCAGTATCAGTTACATAATTATATGCAATACTGTAGATATTGATTGTTTGATAAATAAGTAAAATAGGTCACCATTATCACACATGCTCACACACATACACATATATACATATGTGTGTGTATGCGTGGTCTTGCGTGTGGAATTGGATCAATAAGTACATAGCTTGTCATGTACTTATGAAGCAAATGTTTAACAGATTTTAATCGCCTGACATAATAAATATCCATTACCAGGACACCATTTTCACACACACACACACGCGCGTGCGCAGATATAACGTCTTCTGTACTTAATTAATATACACTTCTGAATTAAATGCATTGACAAAGAAGGAGAAAGTGTAGAAAAACAGTTAATTATTGTGGGAAATAAGTGAGTTTTTTTCTTTCGTGTATGTGTCATTTGCTCACATAACTATATATATATATATATATATATATATATATATATATATATATATATTTGATTTTCTAAGCAAAGCTTAGATGTGGCACATGGCCGAAAGTATGGGGCGCCCAGTGAGGATCGAACTCACTATTCAGTTGTAACAAGACCAGCATGCTAATCATTACACCACTCATTCAGCAGCGACAGTCAGATTTATGCTTAAATGCAATCTTGAGTTTAAGCATGACACAAACTGTTGCCGTTTTGTGTTGAACTCAGTGTCCGTTTTGACATTTGCATACGCTCAATTTAAATGCGCGACACAAACATTCACTTCCTTTCAGTACGTGTTGTAATATGGACATATTTTAAAGTTATAATAAAATCTATTTATTTGAAAAATATATGCTTATGACCAGGGGCGTATCCAGGAGTTTTGAAAAGGGGGGCATCTGTTAATGCTTTGACTTTTTTTTTTTCTCTTCAGATTTTGCGGGTTGGGGGGAGCATGGCAGAATTTATAATTTATAATGTTTACATAGGCAAAATAAACATAAATAACTTTAATGTCTTTTGATTCTGATTTGTTTTTGCCAAACCAGCAATATTAGGAGTTAAATTCGTAACTGAAAGCAACAAACAATTCACTGAAATGAATGAGTAGAAGTGGCTTCGTTTCTTTTCATCAAAAGGGTGCAATACGCCACTTGTAAGCATCCAATGCGCCACTTATGGCGCATGCGCCACAGGTTGGCCATCCTTGGGTTAGACTGATAAGTTTCTGACGTCACGTGTCCTCAAATAATGGTATTCTGTTATTTTCTTCAAAGTATAGTTTTGTATGCACATTGTGCAAATCAATGTTCCAACAAATTAGCCAATTTGAAATACTTAACAGAGAGATTTCTTTTATCCTCTAATAACAGGAACATTATTAAAGTGTTGACGCATTTTTGAATAACTATGCTGGCGATAAGACGGTATAGGGGTGCCTCTCCAAAATTCTAGATAGCTAAAATGTGGCAGTTGATCTCTCCTCTGACAACTCACTAGGGGGAAAACTGTCTGGTCACATTCAGTAAAACCAAACTAGTGAGGTTCTATCATCATCGAACCGACTCGGAATAAATGAGTGTTCTCTCAGGGAGGCCTCTTTGCCTTGAGCGCCTCTTAATCTCAAACCAGACATCGTGGAATTCGTACATATGAGAGATGCTGGAAAAATGGTCGATTTCCTATACTGTATCCTCAAACCTTACAAGAGCCAGATCAGGCCAAAAATGGAGTACTGCTACCATATATGGACTTGAGCTGGACTGTCTTCACTTTTCAGTCTTGACAGAGTGCAAAAGTCCCTACGTGGACTTTTTGGGGTGATTATCTTTCCACCTTACAACCGCTTTCCCATAGACAAAACGTTACAAGCTTGTCGTTACTTTTTCTCTCTCTCTCATTCTCTCTCTCTCTCTCTCTCTCTCTCTCTATTTCAGTAGGAAGTGTTTAGACGCACTATCTTTCTTCGTTTCATCAATTCTTACATTCATGTCTAAGCCACACACATTGTAGCGAATCAGCGTTATTCACTTCTACTCAAACAGCTTTTTCTTATGAACCACTACATTGTGAAAACGACTCCCAAGAGGATGCTTCCCGATCACAACAATCTTAACCTGTACAAGTCTATGGTTAAACGTTATCTTCTCCACATATCCCCATAAACTCTTTACCTCTTACACTGTAACCCTCTAAGTCGAGTTGCTTTTGGGACTTTTACAGGGTGGATATTTTTGTAAAAGAAACAATACATTGATTGAAAAGAAACGAAACAACACGTTTGTCATTAGGATCTGTCTATATTTCTGAGATGTGGTATTATGTACACTATTTACATTATTCGGACTATTGTCCACAACTTTGTCGCCATGTTTATCACAACGTTTCGGGGAATTAACAGGAGATAACTGACATCCATTAGACATAGCACGTGGGACTAGAACAGTCTAACCCAGTGAGCGAAATAAAGGGTTCAGTTCGACATTCCAACCACCTGAAGAAAGCCGGAGCGTACAACAGCTGAAACGTTGTAATAAATATGACAACAAAGATGAGGACAATAGTCTGAATAATGTAAATAGTGTCGTTTATCATTAGTTCATGAAATAACATTTAAATCCCAGAGTATTGAAGAAAAATTATATAAGATTCTATTGAGGTTATGCAATAACTGCAACGCCATTATTCTCCTACACAAAAACCCGGATAAAATAAAGATTGGATTAAAGAAGTGGGATTTAGAGCAGGTCTTGAAAGGATTTTCCAGAAAATTAACTGAGATTTGATGAGAGTAAATATAAAGCTAGAATATTTAATCAAACTGTCTGCGATTTGCTGCAAACATTTTCTCAGAATCATCGAAGGAGTTCCAAGAAATTGCTAGATGATCTGAATAAAGAAAATCTCAAAGTAGAATCTAAAATGAACAGAAATAAAACAGAAGTAATATTCAATTGCAACACTATGGGAAAGATAATTAATAAGAATAAAGGATGAAAAACTGCAAGAAGTCGAGGAATATATCTCCTCAAGACAGGAATTAACATTAAAGATAAGACCACGGAAATGCAATAAAATGACATAGGCTGCAAAACATTTTATTTAGAAGACATAAAGGCACGTTGCCAATATTTTTAAGATGTAAAGTGAATAATGAATATATAATAATGTGATGTACAAACATAGGAATTAACTAAACTGCTTGATGAATTGAACAAATAAAATACAATAAAGAATGTGTTAAGATGAATGGAGAGAGCATTTCAGTTGAAAGAGACAGAAAGAAGGTAACATGGATCAGAGAACAGACGAAGATGAAATAGAAGAAATTCACCCACAAAAAATAGGTGGGAGGGATACATTGAACATCTCTAATATAGAAAGAAGAAAAGATAACAGGTGAAGCAAAAGATTGCTCGATTGACGACAAATTGGGTAATAGGAAAATTTCAAATACAAGGTGGAAAGATGAAACTGACGGATTTTCTTGTAAGATATGAAAGTTTGTCATAGAAGGTAGTTGGAAATGCCTTACCCTGCCCGGAATTTAAATGGATATATATATATATATATATATATATATATATATATATATATATATATATATATTATGTAGTGTTACATTAGAACATGCACATACCCACTACGGGTTTTTTAACGTTGAAACAAGATGTACAGTTTTGTAGTGGGTATGTGCATGTTCTAATGTAACACTGCATAATAAATAAATATTTATTGCTCTACTTTTGTATTGAGCTCTGTTTTAAATTAATGTTTTGACCACTGAAATCATACTCTTCTTTCTTTACATTTGGATATATATATATATACTAGCAGCATGGCTCGGCGTTGCCCGTGCTTGATTAAAAAATCATACGACTCATACAGCAATCGCTATCACTTGATTTAAAATATTTTTGCCCTTCCTTGCCTTTAAAGGAGTGCCCTTTGCCGTGCTGATGTTGCCACATGTCTTACTTCTTGCCTATCTCACACTGCGAATTTTTTCTAAGCTCTATACTAAACATTACATCTGTTACGAAAAAAGAACTAAACAAAATGAACACAAAACGATCAGCTTTAAAAAAAGGACTCGTAACTGGAAAAAAACGAATGAAAAAAGAATGTTAACAACAAATACTTTTTCACACCCAACCCAGTTCTGCGCAATCAAAATCAACGTTGAGTTTAAGCAAGCAAATGAGCCAATTGGAGTAAAGTGCCATGCAGATTTCTTTTGAGCACTTTCTTGGCACACCATCTACTCACCTTGAAATACGTTAAATTCTTGTAATTATTTCATATTATGTAATTATTTCATATTATATTTTATGTGTGTGTGTGTGTGTGTTTCCAAAGACATGCCCAGCTGGCTTAGCTATCGAACTTTTCAATAATAAATGACTGACCGCCCGAAAGACGGACAAACTTTTTACAGTTAAAAAAAAAAAAAAAACTAAATAAGCACTATACACGCAGGTGTGTGTATGGGATAGAGTTGGTCCAAACATGTCGCTATGCCCGGTAAAAAGAAAGGCAGCCATTTTTAACAGAATTATCTCTCTCCACTTCTGTTCAAGCTATTTATATCTCTTGTGTATGGCGATTTCGATGAGTACATTAGCGTATCGACCCTCGTGGGGTTTGAGTGTGGAAGACTTGCCAAAGGTCTTAATGTCCACACCTACTTTCACACATAATCGGAGCAATTTGACGTAGATTTTTCTTTCTTTCTCTCTTTCTTTTTTCTTTCTTTCTTTTCCATTTTTCTTTCCCTTTTCTTACTTTTGCATTTAATCTTTGACTTCCTTTCATTCTCTTTCCATTTTCGTTTCTTTTTTTATTTTTGTATTTAGTCTTTTCTTTCTTTCTTTCCATCTTTCTTTCTTTCTTTCTTTCTTTCTTTCTTTCTTTCTTTCTTCTTCATTTTGCATTTAGCGTTTTATTTTTTCTTTCTTTTTCCGATATGCTTATTTATTCAGTTTTTCTTTTTTTCACTTTCTTTACCTTTCCATTACTTTTTATCTTTGCTCTTCATCTTCCCTTTCTTTCTTTCTTTCTTTCTTTCTTTCTTTCTTTCTTTCTTTCTTTCTTTCTCCTTAAATGTAGTCACTTATTATTTACTAAGAGTCGCTTATATTTAGTACAAGGCCCAAATAGTACGACATTTAACGAAAATCGAATCCACTACACAGTAGCCAGTCTGATCTGTTAACTCTTACCCACCGACAAGGCACGGTTATTAAATATTCCTCTCGAAGTTGAAGTGAAGATGGAACTCTCTACTCAGACTCTTGTAATTTATGGTGATGTATCCAGAAAAAAGATGCCTTCCAGAAACCAGGGAAAATATTAAGATATAAGAAAACATCAACAGAAACAAAGAAAAGGTGATGAATGGCTATGTAATATCGACTCTCCTATATACAGAGTCCAGAAGTCCACAGCTAGTAATTAAAATCAAATTTCTAGAACATATTTTCTACATTTCTAGAAAGATAAAACCGAGAAAATGATCACTTAAAAGATAAATATGTTTAAAGAATTCAAGACATGAAAAATTTTCCCGAAAAATGAAATACTGTTTTTAAAACAAATTTTAATGACAATCCCGTTTGTGTTGTGTTGGAATCTTTGTAATTTTTTTTTTTTCCAGCGGAGACGATTAATCTTTTAATAATTTGCGACTTAAACATTTTTTTTCGAATAAAAGCTAGTCATAATAATATCAGTGACAGGGTACTCATTTTTGTGTACTAGGTCGGCTAGTCAATCCCTGTTGCAGACGCCTGCTTAAGCACATAGACCCCTTCTGTTTTATACTACAACTATGCTGAGAGGGAGAAAGCTCATAATCTGATGTGACCAACTGTTTGAACAATGCCAGTACGCTCAAAATCTCGGTCATGATGACTTATGACTTAGTTTACCCAGTTTCACAGGGTCAATAGGTGAACACGCGGTAGGGTTTACAGACACTTTCCAATGGATTCAACGTCAATATCGTCAAGAAAATGAGAAATTGAAAATACTGAAATTCGAACCCGTGTTTGCTCGAAAAGCAAACGCTCTAACCACTTTGCCAGACGCTCACATCAAATGATATAATTTTATGTATATCCATAGTAATTATTGCTGTTGTTACTGTTGCTGTAGTTTCTTATTGCTGTATATTTCTGGAAGAGTTTTGTCGATCTCCATCAGAGGGAGATGGACATCAATAGATTAATGAATTAAAAGCAACGAAACTGGTGCCGAATTAAACTTCAATACAAAGGCTGAGTTTCCCGCCAACCAAACAAAAAAAATGGCGCCATAGCAACACGCACAAAAGCGACGGTTGATTGAACGTTACATTTACGATAAAATGAATTGGCATTTCAGAGAAGTAAAACATTTCGTGTAGTTGTAAGGCAGTTTCGTCTGATGTACGAAGGTTGCGTATTCTTTTTCAGGATCAACCAGTTTATTCATGTATTATGCTACTTAATATTACCAGCTGCTTCTAGCTTGTTGTGTATAGATGGCTTCCGCCTTAATAGATGGTTAAGATAAGAATGTTGATTTGAAATAAGTCTACTACTGTGGCTTGTGAAGAAATAGCGATTTTGAATCAATATTACAAAGATTTATCGAAGTAGAGGTAGAGTCGGTTACTGTAGAGGCGATTTTAATGCAAAGTGCTACTGCATGGACATAAACTAAAACTATTCAGTCTAAGCTTAATGGAACTTACACCCGGATGTTATACTTAACATTGCTTGGAGACAACACCCAACTAAACTACAGCCCTATGGACTCATGCGAACGCAGAATACGCTTTTCAGGGGAGTGCATTGGGATCAACTGAACTTGCGTGTCATCAACTACTCCGGACACCTAGCCATGGCGCAAGACGGATTGGTCGTTCAGCAACCATGTACGGTGGTGACCAACTATGTTATGACACAGAAGGCCACGCCATACAGCCTTGATGTAGGACTGTGGTGATTGGAGTGATAGATTCATGACTGTCTGAGTTAACTCGACCGAAAAATAAAAATAAAAAGTAGAGGGAAATATTAGTTTGATGCTAAAGTATTTGCACGATTTAAAAGAAATCCCACATGTTACATATCGCCAAATTCAAACTTCAGCAACCCAAAGTGTAGGCTGGTCTGGTAACCGTCATTCTAAGGGTTGCTCGAACACAGCCTAAAGGTTGCTCTTGTTGCTGTCACAAGGTTTGGCCCTATTCTTTCTACAGCCTGTTACAAATATACAATCGGTATGTAAAATAGATTCATTTTTAGGAAAAGTTTTGTGAAAAGCAAAAATTTTCTATGCACATAGAGAAATATATATATATATATATATTCTAGATAGATATAGAGCTATAATGCCTGCTTGATGGATGATAGAATAGATTATTTATTTTCGGCGCCATGCAATCTGTGTTCGAGTTGAGGAAACAGAATGCTGATTTGCCCAACGCGATTTTGCTAGACGTCAATACATTCTTGTACTTTTTAAAAATCTATCCGGATGGATATATTATATATATATATATATATATATATATATATATAATTTATCGAAACTAGAACAATCCTCAATAGAATGCAGAAAGCACCGGCCGGCCGTTCCGTCCTATTTGGTACTCATCAGCAGTGCGCATCCAATACCGAGAATCGAACCTGGACCGTTACGATAAAAGGCAAGCGTCATACCAACGGACCAAATAGGACGAGATGGTTGTTCAGTGCTTTCTGCATTTTGTTGAGGTTACTTCTAGTTTCGATGAATTACTATAAATGATTATTCAAATCCCCTAAAATTTCTGTCATCTATCTATCTATCTATCTATCTATCTATCTATATATATCTATCTATATATATATATATATATATATATATATATATATATATATATATATATATATATAAAAGGCAGGGTGTGTGTGTGTGTGTGTAACGAATGCGCGGCCGCAATTTTTAACGGATTTGCACCAATATTTACATGCACATGCTCCAAGTTAGCTGAAAAGCCAAGACCGACTTTGCATTTCCCACCTCCCGTCGATAGTGGAAATAATCGATTTTTTCATGCTTCTACGGCAGTTTTCATGTAGTTTCCGGCCATTTTCTACTGGCCAGAGTGAGAGCCTGTAGCTGCCTGCCACGAAGAGGCAGGAAGATTCTATTGGCCAGCGTGAGAGCCAACAGCTGACTGACACGAATATTAACTAGCATGCTAGCATGCAAAAAAAAATCTATAGCTGCATTCGTCACAAGTGGGGAAAATTTAAATCTGCATGGCACTTTACTCCAACAGACTTATTCGCTTGCTTAAACTCAACGTTGATTCTGATTCCGCAGAACTAGGTTGGGTATGAAAAAGTATTTGTTGTTAACATTCTTTTTTCATTCGGTTTTTCCAGTTACGAGTCCTTTTTTTTGCTGTATGAGTCGTTCGATTTTTGAATCAAGCACGGGCAACGCCGGGCCATGCTGCTAGTATATATATATATATATATATATATATATATATATATATATATATATATATATTAATCAATTAATGGATCAAAGTGCATTTTGTTTTGCTCTCTTTCTATTTATCTATTTCAGCCGATTTCCCTAGATCCCCATCTTCATTTGTATTTCTCCTCCCTCCTCCCCCCCTTCCTCCCCTCCTCTCTCTCTCTCTCTCTCTCTCTCTCTTCCCTTGTCATCTCGTACAATAATTTAATCTGGAACAATACAGGCTTTAAGATGTAAAATCCGTGTTTTTTTTTGCATTACAGAATCTTTAGTGGTTAGAGATAGAAAGAAAGAAAAACTTCTTAGTCAATAAAAACGCTTACTTAAGAACCTCGTTTATCATCGTGCATTGGAAGGACACGTAATGACGTCATCACTAAGCAGTGAAAACTGTGGCTTGTAACTTGAGTTTAAAGCATCCGCCAATTAGTTAACAAGTGTTTGGTACAGAGCTCATTCCTGTAAATTCAACCAAGATTTATATAAAAAAGAAGAGATAGAGGAAATCTATTGGTAAGAAGAAGAGGAGATAAAAGAAGAAGGGTAGAGAATATGGCAAAAAGAAGGAGGAAATGAAAAGAGAAGACGATGAAGAGTGAAAGGAGGAGAGGGAATTTGGCAAGAAGAAGAGGAGGAAAAGATGAAAGAAGAAGAAGAAGAAGAAGAAGAGGAAGATGATGATGATAATGATGATGATGATGGGTGGAAAGAAGAGAAGAAGAGGAGGTGAAAATAAAAAGAGAAGAAGAAGAAGTGGAGGAGGAGGAGGAGGAGGAAGAACAACAAGAGAAAAGTGAAGGAGGAAGAGAGAAAATTTGGCAAGAAGAAAGAGGAGGTGAAAATGAAAAATGGGAAAGAAGAAATGAGATTTGGAAAAAGATGAACAGATGAAAAGGGATGAGGATGATGAGGATGATGATGATGATGATGATGAAGAAGGAGGGGATGCAATAAAGAAAGAAGAAGAAGAAGAAGTAATAGTAGTATTGGGGATGGTTTGTAGCCGGACATTTTGTTGAGACGTTAAGCAGATTCAACACGCGCCTTTCCTTGTGCCAATGGTTCTAGTCTGTTTGCCAAATACTACTGTGTAGTGTATTCAATCCTCACTAGGGGATCCATTACTTTTAGCCCCGTGTCAAACTAAGCTTACCAAACACCTTCTCATATATCAGCCTAAAGATCCAAAAGTCCGATGTCTGTCTGAAAAGTAACGTGACTTATCCGTTCTTCGATGTGAGCGGCATCGTGCACCGTGAGTTTTTGACACAGGGCCGGACGATCAAGCAGCAGGTTTACAAAGAGATCCTGCGGCGTTTGCGAGAACAGACGCGAGAACAGACGAGAGTTTTGGCAAGACAAATCGTGGCTGCTTCAACACGACAATGCACCTGCTCACAATGCCCTGAGCATCAAGCAGTCCTTAACCGAGAACAACATTACCGCACTGTAACAATCTACCTATTCACCTGATCTGGCTCTGTGTGACATTTTTCTTTGCCACAAGCTCAAGGGGACACATTTTAAAGTCGGGGAGGCCATCAAGAGAAGCTGAGGAGCATCCAAGAAGAATCCTTCCAGCAAAGAAACGTAGCTGAGAAGCGTAGCAGAGAAGGATAGAAAATGGCATTAGATTTTAAAAGGGAAACTATGCAGTTTGTTGTTTGGGATTGAATTAAACTGTATATAACAAAAGTCTCTTTATTTTTCAGACCTCGTATAATCTGATAGGGTATATATTTCTTTTATCTGAGATAATTCGTAAACTTGACAACTCTGTAAGATTTTTAAGGATTATCTTAGTAGGGATATAAATAAAGGGATTTTGTCGAAATTTGATGATAAATTATCATTATGACATATTTGGCTATTTGATCCAGAATGTTCATGTTGGATGTTATACTAACAACTTCAACAGAACCAGAAATTTTTTAACAAACACTTTAATCAACGACACTGTGTATCTCTTGGACAGTCTGGGTGTGTAATTTTGGAGTCTTAAACATTATTTCGCTACTCAGCTAGTGGGGCTGTATAAGTATTCTGACTCACATGGCTGGTAAATCGACGTATGTCGCTGTACAGAGGAAACCTTAAAAGAGAAACAACATCGGCCTGAATAGTGGCATACAACGATGCCATAAGAGTTAATAATATATATGGCGAAATAAATAAAAGCCAGAATAGAAAATGTAGAATGTGTGAAGATAAAGATGTGACAATAAACCACATAATCAGCAAATTCAGCTAATTAGCCCAGAGAGAATACAAGGATGATAGGGTGTAGGTGATCTCTTGGGAACTGTGCAAGCGATCAATAAAACCCATTGGTATATGTACAAACCAGAATCTCTCCGAGAGAATGAAGCATAAACTCTGATGGGACTTTGAGATACAAATGGACCTCGTAATCGAAGCCAGAAAACCAGGCCAAGTAGCTGTAAACCAGAAGAAATGTTTGTGCCAACGGACATCACTGTTTCGGCAAACCACAAAATAAATAGGAAGAACTATAAGACGTTGGATGAATATCTCGGCTGTGACAGCCATGTTAATTGTTATCGGAGCAACAAGAACAGTCTTGAAAAAGTTTAAGAAAACATGATAGAGGATTTATAGATCAATGAGAGAACTGAGGCCTACGGGACAGCAACATTGATAAAATCTGCTAGAAATGCTAAACTGATTTCTGGAAAATTGAGGAGACATAATGTCAATTGAACCCAAGTTAAAAATGACCAGTTACAACTGGTTTGAATACACGAGTGAACAACAACAACAATAACAACAAATAATAATAATAATAATAATAATAATAATAATAAGAAGAAGAAGAAGAAGAAGAAGAAGCCTTAAAGAAATAAAAAAAAATGTTCTTACGAGTACCGACCACACCTTACGAAGGGCTTTATATGTGTAAAATGTGTTTTTTTTTTTTGTTTTTGTTTTTTTTAACTGGTCATTGGAAGATGCCATGATGCCATTTCTAACCGTAGGTCTCTAGGCGGGACCCAGAAAGAAATGTGTATACACTAGAAATCAAAGGTAATAAAATAATGATAATAATAATAATAATAATAATAATAATAATAATAATGTGTTTTCTTATTGACATGACACTCTCAGTAAATTGTAATGTATTATTGAAGATCACCAAAAATCTATCAAAATAAATGGCTCTTGAAGTGGAAATCTAAAAAGATGTGTTTCTTGAGGACATCAATAATTCCAGTTGTAGTTGGAGCCCTCGGATTGATTGGAAAAGATTCCGATAGGTTCATTGAAGGGATTCCAGGTAAGCTACGCCTTAAAGAAATACATAAAATTGTACAAGTACAGATCACACATCCATGGAAGATGTCATGATGACATTTCTAACCTTAGGTCTCTGGTTGGGACCCGGAATAAAATATTCATACATCAGAAACCCAAAGAAATAATAATAATAATAATAACATTTACTGGAATTTCGATTTTACTTGACATATCCAAGTTTGACACAAGGTTTCATTCTATAAATTTACTAAGCCATCAGTGTTACTCGGCCTCAGATTTATCGCCAGTGGGGGCTACATTCATAAAAAATAAAAATCGCAGTCCCCCTTTAGTTAAAATTCTTACTCACGGGACCCAGCCATGTCCGCCTCACTCGAAAACCGTTCTCCCACTCAAAACACCCTGGTAACGGGTCTGTTTTCGTTCATTACAATTTTTAGTAAAACTTACTATACGTAAAATTTATGATATAACAAAAATATTAGCATCTAACTAAAATCTGTCCTAAACATACAATACTCTGACAATACTACATTTCTATTGCATTTGTAGAATTTTCCGATAATGGAAAAAAAGCATGCTTTCTACGGTTTTTTAAGGTGGTGGTGGTGGGGTGGGGGTAAATTCGTTGAATTTATGCTTATTTATGCAAATCGAAAAATTGACAAAAATCTTTGATCATTTTTTTTTTACTATTTAATAAAATTAAATTTAATATATGTTAATAAAATAAAATTTCTTTTTTTGTTCTTTGATGAACAAACTCTTTTATATAGAGTTTCTTACAAATAATTGTTAGCGATTTTCTAAGCCTAGTTTAGATGTGGCACAAGGCCGAAAGTATGAGGCACCCAGTGAAGACTCATTATTCAGTCATAATTTTTTCTAGCGAGACAAACTGGTTAACCATTACACCACGCCGGAGTTCCCTAACAATGATTTTCTAATGTGGCACAAGGCCGAAAATATAGAGCACTTAATGAGGATCGAAATTATTCTAGTTGCTAACCATTACACCACGATGAGGTGCCCAATACCAAGAAGGTGATTTTCTAATTGTAGCTTAGATGTGGCACAAAATTGAAAGTATGGGGTGCCCAGTGAAGATCGAACTCAACACCCAGTTATAATTGATCAAGCGAGACAAGCTTGTTAATCATTACACCACGTCGAAGTGGTGCAAGTGCGTTATTCGTTATATTCATATTCACGCTTTTCCTGTGTTTTCATTTTGTGTGTGTGTGTGTGCGTGTGTGTGTATTTTTGTATTTTATTTTCTTTATCGTTTGTGTGTTTATGGGACTACGTTTATGTTTCTATATGTGAATATAAATATGTGTGCACGCGTCATGATCGATCCAGAGTGGACAAATATGGAAACAAATAGAAATATAGACGAATATAAGATAATGAATGCTGTAGGTTGTTCGGGGAAAGAGCGAAAAACAGCCGGAGAGGGAGAAGGTGAGAAAAGTAGTAAAGAAAGAGGGAGAGGAGAAGAAAAATTGGAGAAAAATGGTGAAATGGTTGAGTAAGATAGATGTGAGGGAAAATAGAGCAGGAAAGAGAGGTTTGGTGAAGAGAGAGAGAGAGAGAGAGAGAGAGAGAGAGAGAGAGAGAGCAATGAAGCGGGAAAGGGCAACAGAAAATGCAAGCAAGTGGAGAGAATCTATCTTCCATCTTTTCTCCGAGACAAAATAGACAGATAGAAAAGATAGAAAAAAGCGGACGGAAGATAGAAGAAAAAGCAGGTAAAAGAAAATAGAAGAAGAAGAAGAAGAAGAAGAAGAAGAAGAAGAAGAAGAAGAAGAAGAAGAAGAAAATATCAGATAGGAGAAGAGGAAGATAGCAGATAGAAATAGAAGAAAAAACTGAAGTAGAAAAAGAAGATAGGAATAGAAGAAGAAGAAGAAAATTGAAGAAGATAGTGGAAGCGGAAGAATATAGAAGAAAAAGGTAGAAGATAGAAAAAAGAAGATAGATGGAGAAAAAGGTAGAAGGCGACGGAAGAAGAAGAAGAAGAAAAAGAAGAAGAAGAAGAAGAAGAAGAAGAAAAAGGTAGAAGATAGAAGCTGTAAGAAGAAGAAAAAGAAGATAGAAGAAGAAGAAGAAGAAGAAGAAGAAGAAGAAGAAATCATGAACAAAAGTCAAATTAGGACCAAAAGAACAAGTCGATAACGAGAATAAGAGAAGAAATTAGACAAAGAAAAAGAGTAACAATAATAATAAGAAAAATTGAAGCGTGGATGAAGAGAGAAATGGTAGTGAGAGAAAGACTAAGAACAGAAAAGATACGTATAAAACTATTTTCAAAACTTCTCTAGAAATCCTCCTCCTCCTTCTTATCCTCCTCTCCGCTCTCTCTCTCTCTCTCTCTCTTTTGCTTTCATCTTTTACTCTCTTCTTCTTTTTATTCTTTTTCTTCCTCACTCCCTCTTTCACTCATCTAAGTTCTTTTTCCTCGCCTACTTTCTCTCTTTTACCTCCCCCCATCTCTTTTTTCTTCCCACCCACCGAATACATCCCATTCGTTCAGTCTGCAAATTCCCTCCTTTATCTCCGACCCGCCCGCCCGCCCATTCTCGCTCAGACATATTTTTCCTTTATTTCTGTCGTTCATTTCATATTTGCTATTTCATTATTGTATTAAAATTCTACAGCAGCACATTTCTTCCCTGCCCGACTCTCTCTCCTTTTTTCACACATCTTTTTTTTTTTTTTTTTTAAGAAAGGCGTCAAAAGACATTTTTCTATCGGTCCAATATCCTTCAGCTATTTTTAAACGTAGTTTTGCTCACGCTTTTAAAACAATAAAATAGAATTGACACGTTTCCGTTGTTATATAGAGGGCGCCCACCGTCTGCTCGGTGCAATCGCCGGTGGATTAGCTGCCCAGTGGGTATCGAAGTTTTTAGCAAATCTAAACTGGCCGAAAAAAACAGTATTTGAAATTACGAAGTTTTTTTTTTTTTTTTTTTTTTTCGTGGCACGAACCCGAACGAAAATTTTTATTCAGTTTTAGAAATATTTTAAGTGCTTTAAGACGAATTGTCGTGCACAACAGATCCCGCATTTGGGAAAGTGCCAAAGGACCCCCCCCCCCAATAAACTCCTCAAAAATTAGAACAACAAAAACGCAGAGAAAATCGCATTTGTAACTCAGGGAAATCACCGACTTGGGTAATATTTGTAAGGTCACAGACATCCCCCACTATTACCCCCACACCACTCCAACCAAAAGGGGGGGTAAAGGAAGAAAAACAGAAAAAGTAACAGGAAATAAGCCAACGTAGAAGAAGAAGAAGAAGAAGAAGAAGAAGAAGAAGAAGAAGAAGAAGAAGAAGAAGAAGAAGAAGAAGAAGAAAATAAAGGATACCTAAACGTCTAAACATTTAATATACTAAACAACTTGTACTTGAACAAAAAAAACATAACACAAAATTTCCCGTGGATTTCTTTGAATCGGATTAAAATGGGACCAATAAAATCTGAAAATATCCAAAAGGAATCCAGGTAAAAAAAATAAAAGGTCAACCGAGGAAAAAGGTACATAATTCCACCTTCAAAGCACACTACTTGCTTGAGGTACACATCAATCTCAGAGCCCATCCAAAATTTTGAAAACACCCAACAAATTCTTCGTCGTGAAATGCCTAAAAAGTTCTCCATCATCTCATCGACAGGATTTTAGCTTAAGAAAAAATATAAATGCAGTAATCAGCTGAGTAGTTTAAGAAAAATCCTGATTGAACAGGAACAGTAAGCCATTAATAATTGTACAAAGGCTTAGAATTTGATCATGCAACCCGATGGTACTTGTAAAGAATGGCGAGTGGTATTACTTGAAAGAAACTCTTGAGTTGAACAATAGATAAGCTGTTTAAACATTTATTAATTGACTCTTGTTGCTCTATTTATCTACTGGGCACTCGCTTAACAAATATTATGCTGGCATACATTAAATTCTAGTTAAATTCTACGTCATTTTATAGATACAAATATTTAGTAATGTTTGTTTATATTAAATAGTAACATTAACGGGCCTGAATGTCCGAGAAGTGAATAGAATTCATTTCCGACAGGAATGAACTCAGAGTCTACACGGAACCGTCATATAACCTGACATACTATACTATTTAACTAAAGACGAAGCGTCCGGTTAGCATGGTCGAAGTACCGCTAACGAGATGCTTCCTCTTTAGCTAAATGGTATAACATGTTAGGCTATATGGCGGTTCCTTGTAGGATACAAGTTCGATTCCTGTCGGAGGACACATATTTTCTATGACATTTCTCGGTCATTCAGGCCTGTAAATGTTGTTAATACTGTTTATTATAAACAGAGCATTTACTTAAATATTTGTATCTATAAAATAACGTATAAAGATATTAAAATAATTGTTGCACTTAGTCCATTTTATTATATATATATATAAATAAGCATTTTTATAATTATGGGTTAAAATACCCAATATCACCGATAGAACGTATAAATATAACATACCTTAAAACTATATATATATAAGCTTGTTTGAATGTCAACGAAAATTCTCAGAAGTTTGGGCAGAGTGTGTCTGGTTAATGGTCAGTGTTGAATCAGACCAGGGAACAGTATTATTAAAAAGTGCTCAATACACGTGAGAAAAAAAATAAGTACGAATAAAAATACCATGTAGAGCTTTTAAATTTAAAAATCAGGAGGTCAATTGAAATATATGACCACGGTTTCTGGCCTGGCAGTCTCAAGTTTGGGCATTAATTTCAAAATCATCACTTTTACGCTTTATCTAAAAAACCCACAAAGAACGCTATATAATTATCTTTCAATATATATATATATATATATATATATATATATATATATATATATATATATATATGATAAAAAAGGCTTAAACACTAATATTCCATGGTCATAATTTATTCTATTGGAATCGTAAATACGATCAAATTCATCATATTTACAAATTAATATTATATTTATTCACTAATATTATCTATATCTATCTATCTATCTATCTATCTATTTCTCTCTCTCTCTCTATATATATATATATATATATATATATATATATATATATATATATGATCAACAAGAATAATGAAGAGAGTACTGAAGCATTTAAGAGACTTGTTGTCTCTTGATTTTCAATGAAATCTTCCCAATACGACTTAAGTGTAAACTCAACGAGTGCCAAATAAGCTGGCTTCCATTGAGTAAATTACTTTTTTTAACATTGAAATTGAAAATTAATTAGTGTTTCCTACTGATGAAAAGAGTGAAAGGTTTTCTCTGCATGCACATAATGTTCACGACTTTGGGGATTCCCTCGTAGAAAAGTTTTCTCTGTGGATTAAAAAGACCGACCTCCGACAGCGTGTTTTTATTAATTAAAAATCCTAAAACTGTAAACTTTTATTTATTTATTTATTTCATTTTATTTTATTTTTTTACTTATTTTTCATATGCGCACATAAAAAACAGAACAGGGGAGAAAAATGTGTTGAAGAGAAGAAAGAAAGCTTTTATTACTAATTAAAATTATAACGTTCGCCCCAAATCCCTACGCGAACTTTATGCAAATGAACCTTTTGGAACTCATTTTGAAACCTTTACACTTCATCACGATGCATAGTGCTGGTATTAGCTAGGAAAAAAAGTTTTTATGGAAGCTAGTTGAAATTAGTGTCAATTGCCACCAATCAGAGAAACTTATAAATCCATCATTTTTCTTCCCCACCCAGCTATGGGTTAAATAAAAGGACTTACTGCGTTCTCTTGTCTTGAGGTGGCTATCAGACTAGGAGAAACAAAACACTGAATCAAGAACCAGCCTGAAGTGGAATGGTCTCTGTCAGGCTATTTTGCCATTGACGCGCGAAATTGCTGCTATGGCTGCACTACAAGTGATGTCCCTATAACCGTAATGATTACGGAACTTCTGATGGGAAAATATTGATTCACGCATGTGTTTCGATTGCTTTGTATCCTGTTCTCACACAAAGGAAGTAAGATCGTGTTCTTGGGCTGTACGCTATAATGTCGGACGGAAGGCCATGTTCTTGGAATCGGGCTGTACGTTACAGTGTCGGACGCAGGAGTATGTTCTTGGAATAGGGTAGTACACTACAATGTCGGACGCAGGATGATGTTCTTGGAATCGGGCAGTACACTACAGTGTCGGACGCAGGGCTATGTTCTTGGAAGCGGGCAGTACGCTACAGTGTCGGACTCAAGGCCATGTTCTTGGAATCAGGCTGTACGGAATAATGTCGAACGCAGGGCCATGTTCTTGGAATTGGGCAGTGGAAGAAATAGTTTTTGTACGTTTTATTAGTCTTTTTTTTATAATTGCTATTTTATAATAATTTGGACATTCACTCTTATAGTTAAGGGTGCACGAATTTATGCTGGTAGTTTTTTTTTTATATGGAAAGATAGTGAATTTATTATGATTAGTGTTTATCATTATATCCAGAAAAAGGAATTTTTATTACTATTATTACGATTGTTTGTAAATTTAAGAACAGACTTATTTTGGAATTGTTAATTCACAAGGTCCTTCATATCAAAAGCAACCAACACTGAACAAAATTTATTACGTGTATAGTAACAATGTTTTAAAAAGCATTTGAATTGGCTAACATTTAAAAACATGTTGCAGATTACCATCTCTGTTTACCTCCCTTGAATTGTGAACGCTTGTTTAGAGAACATCTTAACCACAACGGTTAATTTCAAAATAATTATAACAGATCGCGTTCACGCGTGTTTACAAAAATCACCATAACAAAGATTACAGTTACATTAAGTTTGTCTTCGTAATTCCCTACCGAGGATGTTCTCGGAGGAGATCGAAAGTACTTGGGTTAGCAAAAATTGCGACGCTTTCTTTGATGAATTTCAACATCCAGAAGAGAACTAGAAAGGATTATTATAAAAATAAGTAGACATAATATGCCTATATTATTTAATTAAACATTTTTGAATTAATAAATACTGCTTAAATACACACAGACACACACATACACTTCCCCATATATATATATATATATATATAAGCTCCTGAAAAATTATTTCAGTTGAGCTCTCTGGGGAGGAAGTGTGGGTTTGTAAACAGTGACTAATACGGCAAAT